ATTAAATAAGATATAATATTTAAAAATAGAAATATGATAATAAATATAGTAATATATGATATAGAAATAGAAATATTTATAGAATAAATGAAAAATATAAAAATATGTGATTTTGCATAACTAAGAAAAAATTAAGGCATTAAGAAATTTTATATTACTACAATAATAATACTATTATTATTAAGTTAATTTTAGTAAAAATTTTATTTTATTATATATTTTATTAAATATTAATAATAAAAAGAAAAATATAAAGATATAAGTTTGTTAATTCTTTTTTTTATTAATAATTAAAGAATTAATTAATAATAATTCTTTTAAAAATTTTAAAAGATTAATAATAATTATTTATCATAATTTTAATATAAAATTAACTTTTCCAAATAATTAATATTAAATTTAATATTAATTTAATAAATTTAATATAATAATTTTTTTATTATTTTAATAATTATATTTTTATTCTTTTTATTTTTAAATAAATATATTAATATATTAATTCTTTATTTTTAATAAAGTTTATAAATATCTTATTATAAATTTATAAGTATTATTATTATTTGAGTCAAAATTTATAATTTGAAATTCTTTTATATAACTTATATAACTTAATAAAAATTTAATACTTTTATTAATATATAAATATAATAATTATATTGATAATACTATTAAATTTATTATTAAAATTAATAGCAAAATATAATAATATATTATATAGAAAAATTCTTTTAAAAGTTCTTTTAAAATCTATTAATAATTTCAATTATATCAAATAATATTATTTTCAACAAAACAAATTATAATAGATTATTTTATTATTAGAATTATAATTATATTTCAGGATTTGTTTTGCTGAATTATTTAAAATTTGTCTATTCTTATTAACTTGTAAAGAATATATGATTAGAAGCTAAATACAGATCATAATTATATCCAATTATCAGATCTCAATTTAATTGAACATCTATCAGTTGTTTATATTATCTTACAGAATTAAATTGGAAAAGGATATTTGTGAGCCTTATTGAAACTATACAGTAGCAGCTATACAAGATGGTAAATTAAATCAAAAATAGTAAAAAAAATAATAATTTGGTTTGTTATTTATGAATTTTTTTATTTTGTTCAAAAAGAATGAATATATTGGACTTTTACAAAAAATTTTACTTAATAATATACATTAAATTTATAACATCATTTAATTTTATTAAAATAATTTTGACGATTTTAAATCTAAAGGAGATTCATTTAAAATTTTTATTTGAATATATTTTATACATATTTTTATATTGGCTATCCAATGATTAATTTGATAATTATTTGTCTCCAATTGTCATTGATCTGATGCACAAGTTTCATGTTATGTTGTTAAGTTTTTCACTTTTCATTGAGCCTCCCTTTTTTCTTGTATCATACTACGAACACTCACAACACGTAATTTGCCAATGGACGTTATTTTGAAACCATGTATGCTATTTTAAAAGGTAAAATTTGAACATTTTATTAAATTATTACTAATATTAAAACAATAGTGAATACAAACACAAAGGTAAAGTGAATAAAATAAAAGCAAACACAGAGTGAAAATATGAAGCTGAAATGCAAATATGAAGATGAATGCAAACACGAAGGTAAAACACAAACTTAAAGATGGAAAATAAACACAAAGTAATAAAGGCAAGTTTTATTTGGAAAAGATCTTTTTGCTTAAAATCGTTCTTTTAATAATATAATAAGCCAATACTAAAATTTATGTACGCCTAAAATATTGTGGTGCAGAGAAATTGCACAAGCAGAAATTCTGGGCCTAACGCTAAATAGCCGTTGGAACTTTCTGCCAATCATGCCCGTTTGCAGAACCCTAGTCTTTATAAAATAAAATCAAATGGATTGAATCCGTTAGCTGACTATAAAATTTCATCAAACCGCGTACATAAGTCTTTGTGAACCTAATAGAAAAAGTATTTTTTTAAAGAATTACATCCAGCATCATTTTATGACTGCTCGTATCATATTGTTGAATTCAAAAGTAATAAATTTTGATCATGCTTAAGTATCTTTTAATAAAAATATAAATGAATAAAATTAACATCCCGATAAATGTTTATTGACATTCAAACCTGGAATTTCCATGTTTTTCCATTTTAAAGACCAAAACTTTCGTTACGTGCACAACACATAGCTTCCTTTATTGCATAACGATATATATATATATATTCTAAGGGCCTGGTACGAAATCTCGACAAACACATTTCTTCAGCTCAATAAATCGCGTAATTTTCAGTACATTTTCAACATAATCCGTCACATAATTTTCAGCATGATTCAATGCATATTACAGCATAACTTTCAGCGCAATTCTTTCTTTAATAACGATAAGAATAGTCTATATAGCACATAATATTTTCTCTACTGTAATATTCAAATTTTCACACCCAAAAATAATCCTGAAATCCTCCCAATTCCCGTGTCCAAATAAATAATTGTATTCACTTACACTTTTTCCCTTGGACCACACATATCGGCACAGGAATTAGAATTAAATAGCATAATTAATCTAATCATTCTCCCTAACCCTAATCACAAACTAAATTCACTAAATCCACCCCCATTATACACTTTACCTGTGACAGAACCTATATGCTAACATGTTGAATTGAAAGCGGAGAAACAAGATCTAGTATGCAGTAATTATTATGAATATCAAGGTTTAGTGCTCATACATTGCAAATTTAAATCTTCTCTTGCGAAAAAATGCTTTTTAATACATTTCTGAATATTCCTAACATGTACCACTACGAGCACGAGATTCTTTTCTGCGATTACGCTAATGTGCCTGACCGATCTCTTCTTTTGGAGTCGTCTGTCCACTCTGATTATGATTCTTCGATGTTAATACTTTTGTAGGTTCTCTGTGAACTACTCTTAATTAACAAGTATTTTAGAATAGATCAATAGGATAAAAGAAATGTGTTTTTTATTTAAAGACAAATAATAAACTTTAGTTGAGTTATCAAGAAGTATAAGAGATGATTATTAGAAAAACTCATTAAAATATAGAATATTTTTCCAGTTCCTTATCCCGTGAATATTACCATGTGAGTCGTGACGCAGAGTTCATATTAACGTGTATACGTATAAAGAATACGCGTGCACGTACACTAGCAGTTAATTTCACAAAATTACGTATGCATAATAAGATAGATTCCATACTTTTGGAGCAAGTAATATATACGTATGTGCGTCTCTAATACATAACATATTGTGTGAACCGTATGGGTTTTTTTGATCCATATGATGATAATGCCTTGATGTTATCGTTATCGTAATGATAGCTAAAACAAATATTGAACTAGCCAGCATAATAACATAGATAAAAAAGTATATTGGAATCGATTTTCAATACTAATTTCACTACCGTCGCTATCACTACTATTGCTATTATTCGTATTACATGTTTTACTGAAATTTCCTTTCAAAATATTCGTTACATCATCAAATTCTTTTTTTGCTGGATCAATTGTTGATGGATGATTTTCTAAAAAATCAATCCAAATTTTAGATATATTCTGATAACATTCTCCACATAGAATTTCCCTTGGAAGAATCACATCTTTGATACTCGAGCTTGAATAAAAATCAGCGTCATATGATAAGATAGCGTTTGGTGGATCAATGTTAAAGAATACTTTTGGAAGACTCCATTGATCTTGCTTTAATTTACTGGACATGTAGTCTCTAACTTGATTTTGACACGTAGTATAGCAATATTCTGTTTTTAAAATGTATGAGCAATATTAGCATATATAATCATAAGATGATTATGATTTAAGCAATGAATGAGCTATACCTGTTGCTGCAGTATTCTTTAAGCAATAACTATTTTTTTTCAGGTATTGACTTGTAAAATGCCTGCCAAATCTGGACTATAATAATTAGAGGATTATGTATATCAATAGCTCCTTCGAAAGCAGATTGCAATTCATCCTTACAGTCCTGTTCGATGCTTGCAATTATTTGAAGAACTTGTTGTTCATCACATTGTTTTGGGCATTCTGCATCAAATATTCCCGAATTCGAGCCGTCGTATGTAACATTTATAAATTTTGTAATACTACAAGGATGAGTTTTCATCATTATAATCTGAAAGATCGTATATTCGCATGCCGAACATTGTGGGGTTCTGAATTTTTTTCCGCATTGAATTTGATTAGATGACGAGTATGTTCCTGTGCTTGTGCCTGAGTTAGTTTGCTTTGCAGTATTTGCAGAAGTTGCAGTAGAAAATAAATTGGCGATTGATGACAACTGTAATCCTATTGATAACGAAGTTGTTGAGATTAACTGGGTCGGGGCCGAAGTTAACGAAGTCCGAGTCGGTGTTGGAGCCCCTGAAGTTAATAGAGCTGAAGTTACTGAATTTGATGAAGTTGAAACTGCTACATCTGTAGATTCGGATGATACTATCGCTATTAATGTTAATAATGAGAATGAAATGCGTAAAAATCTCAAATAAAAATTCATTATTCAGTCGATGTTAGGTAGAAGAAAGTATTTTTCTTAAGACAGTGCGTGAATTTATAATGATTACATGTATTTTAGGAAAACGTCGCACCTCCGAAATGTGTGCCATCTATTGTCGATCTTGGAAAATTCTACCGCTACAGAAGTCGTTTTTAAGGAAAGTTAAGCTAATAGTGAGAGTTAGAATTGAGTAGTTAAGATTATATATAAAATTGTCTCCCCGACATTTTTTATTAGTACTCCAAGCTAGGTTTAAATATCTGTTTTCTGTATTTTTCACTTTTTTCATTTTTTTGTTTTGTCAAAATTTATGCAACATTTTTTTATTTGCGTTACACTTGATAGGATTGGTCGGATCAGCAGGTGACACTACCCCAAATACGGAAGAAACACGACAATGACTATAATACCTTTGTATTCGAACGATATTTTAGTGTTTTGTTCTTACGTGAAACAAATTATCACCACCAATGATTATTTTCAAAGCTTGTGTTCCTTGTAAAACTTTTCCAATAAAGATGAATTCTATTTTAAATCGAAAGTATTTACTGTATGACTATTAGATTGGCGAACTTTCCAATGAATAGATGTCAATAGCAATAATCAGTTGCTATTATTGATCCAAAAATCATTCGAACGTTTTAAAACTTATATCGATAACAAAAAATTGGAAACCAACCACAATATATTTGAATAATGGAGAGGGATCAAGCACTTCAGCTTGTGGCCTTTTGGAAAGTAACGATGGAATTTTGTGGCAGGAATAATTTCGAACGAAATTTAGATATTACGTAAGAGACTATGACAAAAATTAATCAAAAATTTTTACCCTTAATCAATTGCATGTACATGTACACTCCCCGGTCAAAAGTCTCCGACCACCTGATTTAAGATTACAGATCATTAACTTTTAAAATGAGATTA